AGAAAAGGCATCTGGCTAGCTCAGTCAGTAGAGCGTGTGACTCTTGATCTTGGAGTCATAAGTTCAAGCCCCACATGGGTGTAGACCTGCTTTAAAAAAATAAAATAAAATAAAAAGCACTGTAAAAAAAATCAATAAGAAAAAGACAACACCTAGTAAAAAATACATAAAGGCTGTGAACAGGAAATTCACAAAGGAAGAAATAATAATGACAAAATGAATGTGAAAAACTGTCTAACTTCACCAATAAGCAAAGAAATACAAACTAAAACAATGAGGTACCATTTTCCAATTATCATTGTTAGAGATTTGAAAATAAGATAACCACTCAGCATTGTATTTCAATATGAAAATCTTTAGACATTACTATACTAGAAGATATGAGAGAAGTATTCATAATGGCTGAACCTACATATAGATCTCTGATGTGATTTTTTTTAACATTTAATAATTCTTGGTAATGTATAGAATAAAACAATGTACAGTCAACCTTCAGTTTATAGGACAGTTGCATTCCTGGAAAATTCATTGTATATTTTAATCACACAAAAAATGTTTAATATGTGGAAGATATGTTCTAGTCTTCAATAATTACATAGAACTTTCTCACTTCCATGAAAATCTTCCAAGGCAAGGGACAAATCTTCATCTTGCATCATTATCCCAAACATTGCAGTATTATAAAACTTGCCCCAGGGTCTGCCCACTCACTAAATTTTAATAGGCCTCTCTATCATCAAAACAACCAAAGAATCTCCACAAAACATCCTAAATGTTACCTAATAGAAGATATCCCCCCCATTGAGAACCTAAAATCTAAAGCTACTATCAGATAATAACTTATATGACACATCTTTTCCACAATTATAACTTCCAACACAGTGCCCCACACAATATACTGGTTGTAGTAAGGAATTTATGAATCAGTGAATAAATAAAAATGAAGCATGAATTATAATGACCACCTGGTTGTATTCTTGAGTTCAGTGGTTGAAACAGACTTACATCTAAATCCTTGCTCTTGTTTATATTAGCTCTTTGACTTCAGACAATTTACATAATCTCTGTCTCAAATTCCTCTTCTGAGTTGTAAGGTTTGAATGAAATAAAGTACAGGAACTCACAACACTGTGTGACACACAGCAACCATTTAATAACCAGATAGCGAGACGCGCTGGACATTTCTGTCTCATCCATCTTCTTCCCATTTTCCTCCAGATACAGGAAAATAGATGCTGTCAGGGTCGTTTTTATACTCACGGTAGAAATGGATCAGGAACCTCTGCTTTCTCGTCAAGGTTTTAAGCAGTTTGGTTACCTAGAAATAGCAAATTGGACTCTCCTTTTTAGTCAAAGAAATTTTCACTGGAGTAGTGTTTCTTACACTCTCCAGATACATAGATATATAAAACAGTTTTGAACAGTTTCATGTCCTCAGCAAAGCTCAAACAATATTGTTATCAGAAACTCTCCAAAGTAAAATGAATTTGAAAAATTAATACCTGGACTCCTTCTATAAAAAGCACCTAAAACAATAAGAAAAACAAGCACGGTTTTATGCATTTAGAATTGAAAGAAATCAAAGATAATTTCTAAGAGCTTGAAAATGAACTGAATATACGATGTGATTTAAATAAAACTTCCTTCAAAAGAAATTTATTATTTTAATGATTATCTTTTAGTTTGTGTGTGTGTGCTCATATGCACACACATATTACTTCGGTAACTCAAAAGGTGTTTTATTTAAGTTTCTACAGGTCAGTAATGTTTGAAAAATATTAGCTAAATTGCTTAAACCAGTCAAGGCAGAATTACTTTCTAAGGAAAGAGATTCCTATCTAGCTTATTTATTCTTGTTAATATGTTTGTTTCTGACATCTACCTTAAACCTATTCTATCACAATATACCTATTTCCCCTTTCTTGGACTACACGGGAAAGGAAAACACTTGGTCACACATATGGGACTTCGACCCAGATGCTTCACATTGCAAATGGAGAAGATCCACAAAAGGAGAGGGTTTCTTCATTAGAGCTTCTGATTTTCACTGGTATAAATTATTTTAAGTGACTTGAAAATAGTGCTCCTAATTCTAAAACAGACAGAGGAATAGGACTTTGCCGGTGGTTATGCCTGGCATACACATTGATCTTGGATCCTGTTCATTATCACAGAATGGTTTTATTTCATTTTTTTATTAGTGTAAACAAACAGAAAATCTGTTTCCAATGGCTGCTTGCCAACAATCTCTGGACTATGATTCATTTAGTTCTTGGTTGGGGAACAGGAAAAGTTTTCCATTCCTGCTTGTTTTCACCTATTGCATTTGTTGTGTGAAATATTCCATCTTTGGCATATGTTCCCAGGGAAGAGTGTCCTGGAAACAAACAAGGTGCTAACATTCTAACAAGCCGGTTAATTTGGCTTTTCTCTCTGTGGTAGGAGATCGCAGTAATCAATGCCCCTCGGGATTTGCCTTAGACTCAGTTGGACCTTTTTGTGCTGGTAAGAACGGGAATAATACATTTTTATTTTTATAAAAAATGTTAGTAATGGAATCCATTTAATGGACATCTATTGCCATTTTGCTAGACATCTAATTATCACAACAGTCTTAGAAGTGTCCCATTTTACAGGCGAGGGAAGTTGAGATGTGAAGAAGTTAAGGGGGGTGCCTAAGATCACTCAGCTACCAAGTGTCAGAGCTAGATTTGAATTTAAGATAGCTGCAAAGCATGTACTCTTTCAGTTTGACCACAATCAAGTGTGTCAGGGATCATGATCAAGTACAGAGGTGGAGTGAGCATAGGGACAAAACACTGGACGCTGTCTGGTCATTTGATTGCCTTGGATGTGAAACATAATAATAATCCAACTCTAAGTCACCTAATCCTAGAATTGCTTAGAGGATAGGGCAGGACTATGCAGGACTACTGACTAAGCCAGCCTCATTCAATCCAAGTACCAGTACAAGAGGGTCACAGATAAGTAAACAGCTGTGTAAATGGCTAGAGTAGCTCAAGTTTGCATACACCATGCCTTTCTTTCACTGGTAGGCGATATAATGTAGTATATAGTGGTAGAAAAGTGGTCTTTAGAAACTATACTGTCCAGGTTCAAATTTCAGCTCTGCCAATAATAACCTGTGTGACCTTGGGCAATTCACTTAACCTCCTTGTTCCTCAATTGTATCATGCAAAATGAGGAGAGTAATAAAAATATCTGTCTCCTAGAAATGTTATGAGGAATGAGTTAAGGTAGGTAAAAAAACATTTAGGTCACAGGAAATGGTCATTGTATCTTAGCTGTCTTCTTGTTGTTTTAGAATTAATCTAAACATCCAGTCACTATCGAAGATAATTTGGGGACCCAAAGTTAATTTTTATTTAGCGTTTCTATTTTGTGGCTCTTAGAGAATTTTCTGTTACATTTGATTCAGTGCATTGTCCTCTGTAAGCAACTGTTTTATGAACAACTCTTTTCATGGACTTTAATAACTCCTAGAAAGCAGGGGGTTTACCTGTGAATGGGGCCTTTTTGTTTCTTGTTTCAGATGAAGATGAATGTGCAGCTGGGAGTCCCTGCTCCCAGATCTGCCACAATACCGTGGGAACCTATTATTGCTCCTGCTCAAAAGGCCTCACCATAGCTGCAGATGGAAGGACTTGTCAAGGTAGTCACAAAGCTAAGTCTACTAGACACAGTCAAGCAATGGTCACAGAAAGCTCTGGCCTGGGAAAAGGGTGGTAGAGCAATGCTCTTCTTTCCTACTCTTTCTGCCGCCATGTTCGCAATAAACAGAGATCTCCAGACAGGTTGAGAAAGGAACAGGGAACACTGCTCCCACGCTGGCTTCACGTGGGGCGCTGCGCAGGCAGCGAAACCTGTAGCCACTCACTTCCTCCGCACAACACCATGAGGAGGGACAGGCAAGACTAGTATCATGTTCATTTTACAGTGACAAAACTAAGAAATAAAGAAGTTATAGAGAATTTAAGTAAAGTGCACAACCCCAGTAGCACTCTGGGAACATTAAAAAAAATGCTTTGTTTTTCAATATAGTTGACACATAATGTTACGTTATTTTCAGGTGTGCAACTTAGGGATTTGACAAGTTTATACACCGTGCTGTGTTCACCACGAGTACAGCTGCCATCTGTCCCAATTCACCACTATTACAATGACATTGATTGTGTTCCTCATGCTGTACCTCTTATTCCCATGACTTATTCATTCCATAACTGAAAGTCTGTACCTCCCACTCCCTTCCAGCCATTTTGCCCATTCCCTCACCCCAAAAAAACAGTTTTTATCAGACTCTACATATACTTCAAAATTAGAATTGTGTGAGAATCTGGTTTATAAGGAAATTTTAAAATGATGAAGAGGAAAGGATTTCTCCTCTACGTCTGAGGAGACATCCTTCTAAATGCAAAAGAGAGACAGAGTAAGGGTTTAGGAGGGGAGAGGAATAACGTTCATGGAATTTCCAGTATGGATTGAGCACCTTGTATACATTATTTCCTTTAATTTTCAAAGCAATGCTGAGAGACAGATATTATCCTCACAAAGCAACGCCGAGAGACAGATATTATCCAGATGAGAAAACTGAGATGTCAGATAGGAGAAGTAGCTTTTTTAAAGCCATGTAATTTGGCAGCCAGGCTGGACGTGCATGTGGCGCCGTATTGGGAGAGTTCCTGCATCCCTGTGAAGATGACATAGTTTGTAAATGTACTACAGATGAAAATAAGGTGCCTTATTTCAATGCTCCAGTTTATTTAGAGAGCAAAGAACAAATTGGTAAAGTGGATGAAATATTTGGACAAAGAGATTTTTATTTTTCTGTTAAATTGTCCAAAAATATGAAGGCATCTTCCTTTAAAAAACTTCAGAAGTTTTATATAGACCCATATAAACTGCTACCACTGCAGAGGTTTTTACCTCGACCTCCAGGTGAGAAGAGACCTCCAAGAGGTGGTGGCAGGGGAGGTCGAGGAGGAGGAAGAGGCGGAGGTGGCCGAGGTGGTAGAGGTGGTGGTTTCAGAGGTGGAAGAGGAGGTGGAGGTGGAGGCTTCAGAGGAGGAAGGGGTGGTGGTGGTTTCAGAGGTGGAAGAGGAGGTGGAGGTGGAGGCTTCAGAGGAGGAAGGGGTGGTGGTGGTTTCAGAGGTGGAAGAGGAGGTGGAGGTGGAGGCTTCAGAGGAGGAAGGGGTGGTGGTGGTTTCAGAGGGAGAGGACGTTAAGTGTAACAGTTGACAGAGAAACTTCCTGCATGATCTACTTCTATGGATCAGAAACTTGTTTCTTGAGCAAGTCTTGAAGAACTGGTCATTTTCTGACAGTCGGACTAAAATGTCAACGCCATGCAAAAATGAGTGCAACAGAATAGACCGTTTTGCTCTAAAAGAGTATGAACAAATGTTTTAATGTTTTGTACAATGATTGGAACTTTGTGGGTGCTTAATGGGCAGTTTTCATTTGAAGCATACTTGGACTTTTTAAAATAAAATGTTTTATTTAAGTTATAAAAAAATAAAATAAAGCCACATAATTTGTCAGTGGTTTAATGGATGGGTTAGTCTGCAAAGATACCACACTATGCTCCTATGAGCTTGTCATCAACTTAACCTACCTGAAATGACTCAACCAAATTGTTCAGCATTCTTGCTCTCATATATTTTCAAGTATCATTTATTGCTTTTCTTATCTCCATTTCATAGCAGGTTCTTGGGTTGGTTTTCGTCAACCTGCCTTAGTTGAATGACTCATTTTGTTGCAGATATTGATGAGTGTGCTTTAGGTGGACACACCTGCCATGCTGGTCAGGACTGTGACAATACCATTGGATCCTATCGCTGTGTGGTCCGTTGTGGAATGGGCTTTCGAAGAACCTCCGATGGGCTGAGTTGCCAAGGTATAAAAATGGAGTTCCTTGCTTTATCTTCATTATACTAAGAATTAAAACCCTCTGCCTTTTGAATCATTTAATGTAAACTCCATTTTATAGATGAGCTCCTTGATAAGGTTTTCAGATGTAATATTCCATGGTTATTTTAAATGGATTTATAGCACAGTGGTTTTGAATGATAACATTTGCCTATTATATTTGAGAGAAGAGATTATATAGCACGATCTTAATAGATTCTATTTCATAAAACTTCATTGCATAAGACTACCAGATATTTACTGCAGGATTTTTTTAAAAGACTTTATTTATTCATTTGAGAGAGAAAGAAAGAGAGCGAGCACGAGTGGCAGGGAGAGGCAGAGGGAGAGGGAGAAGCAAACTCCCTGCTGAGCTGGGAACCCAATATGGGGCTCCATCCCAAGACCCAGAGATCAGGACCTGAGCCACCCAAGTGCCCTATTGCAGGATTTTTAATAGACTTTATTTTTTAGAGAAGTTTTAGGTTCACAGCAAAATGGAGTGGAAGGTAAAGAAATTTCTCATGTACTCTCTGACCCAAATCCTGCATAGCATCTCCTACTATCAACATCCTGCCCCAGAGTGGCAAAATTCTTACCAAGGATGAACCCACAATGACACATCATTATCACCCAAAGTTCATCATTTATATTAGGATGCACTCTTGGTGTTGTACACTGTATGGATTTTGACAAATAATAACATGTATCCTATATTATACTATCATGAAGAATAGTTTCCCTACCCTAAAAATCCTCTGTGCTTTGTTTATTCATCCCTCACTTCCCCCAACCTCTGGCAACCATTGAGCTTTTTATTGTTTCCATAGTTTTACTTTTTCCAGAATGTCATATAGCATGTAGCCTATTCAGATTGTCTTTTTTTACTTAATAATATGCATTTAAGTTTCCTCCATGTCTTTTCATGGGTTGATAGCTCTTTTCTTTTCAGTGTTGAATAATATTCCATTGTATTAGTGTACTATAGTTTATTAATCCATTCAGCTACTGAAGGATATCCTGGTGCTTCCAAGTTTTAACTTTAATTCTGAATAAAGCTGCTATCAGGGTTTTTTCATGGAGGCAGAAATAGTGGATACAAAATGGAATGCCTATCAATAGTAGAAAGAGTGAGTGAATTATGGTACATCCACACCATGAGTCATTGTGCAGCCATTATAAAGAATGAAATGCAGCTCAACTGTTTCCGTGTTGAATTGTTGAGTGAGAACACCAAAATGTAGAAAAGTATACGTAACTTGTATAGAAAAGATTATGTGCCTAGAAAACAAACAATAACCAAAGATAAAGGAAATGGATTTATATATTTACATAGAGATATATATGTGTACACAGAAGAGATATGTTCTTATTTATACTAGATTGTCAGTACAGATTGGCTTTAGTGGACAAGAAGGTAAAAAGGGATAAATGAAGCCAAGAAAAAAGAAAGAAGAAAAAACTACACCAAGAAAATATTTTTGAAGCACATGATCACATTTATGCATTTATATTAACATGCAGATTTTGAAAGATTAAAAGAGCTCATACACCTGAAACTAATATTACGCAGTTTGTTAACTGGAATTTAAATAAAAACTTTAAAAAATTTTTCAAAATAAAAGAGCTCAAATAGAAAACAAGTACAAAATAAGACACAGGCAACCTTGAGTTTGGGAATGTAAGATGGGGACATAAAGAACTTAAGTATGGCTATTGTTCCTTTGAAGGGTTTGGAATAGAACAGTAGAGAAGTAGAAGGATCTTGAGATTGTAGAATACAGTCCTGAGAGAGGGACTGTATTAGGGTAGAAAAGATTTGATTATGTCCATAGGGTTATGGGAAAGATGACCATAAGGAGGAAGGACTTTAAAAATGCACAAAAGGAGGGAATGATCAATGGACCACAGTCCTCATCTTGGTGAGGAAAGAGGAGATGGACTATAGAGCTCAAACACTCAAATAGAGGGACTTTTCTCACATGGGAGAAAAGGTCTCTCTTCCTCTGGGACTAGAAGGAGAGTTTTGGAAAAGGTACATAAAACAGGCAAATGCACATGAATTGGGGGAATTCATGCTTGCATTTTTTTTTTATTATACCATGCCCCACATGGTGTTGGGAAGATTAATTTGGCAATGACTGTAGACAAGGAAAAATGCTAAAGTTGCTGCCGTCAGGCACAAGGTGGTCAAGATCTGCATCAGGCTAACAGCAGCAAAAATGGGGAAGAAAGGCCAATTGCAAAAGATACTGCAGAAGACCTTGGCTTTCCCCCCACCCCCCCATCTTCAGTCTGTCAGAAACATTCCAGGGCTGAAACTTCTTAGAAACAGACATGGGAGCCATCTGGTAAGGTAGTTAAAGTAGAGGAGTCTTGCATCCAAATAGTTCCAAGTCACTGGGAAATGTCTACCTCTGAAGAGAGGTATGGTCTCCAGCAATTAATCCAATCAATTATCTGGCAGATCATATGAGAGCAATTTTATTGGATTCATTTTAGGAAAGATCTTAAACATAATAATGATAAAAGATCATTAAAATGTTAGACATCTGAAATAAATTAACTCAGTTTCCTAACAGCATATAATGAAAGTTTTGTTTTGTTTAACAGATATTAATGAATGTCAAGAATCCAGCCCCTGTCACCACCGCTGTTTCAATGCCATAGGAAGTTTTCATTGTGGATGTGAACCTGGGTATCAGCTCAAAGGTAGAAAATGCGTAGGTAAGAAAAGGGCTTTAAATTCAAAGCAATGACATCTTTGTAATTTCTAGGTATTCAATCTAATCCATATGCTGTGTCCTGGGCTGGATTCATACATAGGATACCTCTTTCCATCATGTATGTAATCCATGCAAAAACAAAGTGGAAGCAAATGCTATCCTTTACAGGTTTCATTTTCTAATTACATAACCATTTTTTAGCATTTCCCTATTGGATTTACCAAATTTTTTCACAGAAGCATAATATATATGGTTACATATATAAAGTTATATATATATATTATTTATTTGTTTATTTTTCTAAGAGGAGGTAGTGGTTGGTATGGCTACCAAGTATGTGGACTAATTTTTTTTTAAATTTTTATCCTTCTGTTTTAAAGATTTTTATTTATTCATTTGACAGAGATAGACACAGCGAGAGAGGGAACACAGCAGGGGGAGTGGGAGAGGGAGAAGCAGGCCTCCCGCAAAGCTAGGACCCCGATGTGGGGCTCGATCCCAGGACTCTGAGATTATGACCTGAGCCGAAGGCAGACGCTTAACGACTGAGCCACCCAGGCGCCCCTATCCTTCTGTTTTAAAATAGTCTGTTACTTACCTTGATGGATTTAAACACTTTACCCTTAAACAATAATTATATAATTAACATCTTTATCCTTAAAATCCGAAGGTATGATTTCTATGGAAAAGTAGAAGAAATCATTTTCTCAATCTTCATTACCTTTTTTCTTTTATCAAGACGTGAATGAATGTCGACAGAATGTATGCAGACCAGATCAACACTGCAAGAACACCCGCGGGGGCTATAAGTGCATTGATCTTTGTCCCAACGGAATGACCAAGGCCAAAAATGGAACCTGCATTGGTGAGTGTATGGCTATTTCAATGACTGAGATCCACTTGCCATTGACACCCCAAGTAAGGCATCTGTTTGTAAGACTAAGATTAAATTTAATCTCACAAGGAAATTTTTCTTTTATCACAGGTTTTTTACTCCCACTTCTAGTATGTTTGAACTGTGGGGTCCCAGGCTCATGGCTATACCAAGAAATGGAAGCTCACCATGGAAGCTTATTACCATTTTGAGCTCCCATCAATTACACGTTTGCTTTACACAGTTTAATGTCTACACAGATTAATATTATTTCACATTATGTCTATGAAATTCAGTGTTTGTATGTTTAGAATTTCACAGGTGGTTAAGAAAAGCTTATACAGATTTATTAAAAGTTCATAATATTTTATTTTAGAATTGAATATTCTTTCAATGTCAAATGAATGACCAGACAAATAAATTATATTCTCCCCCTAAGTTTGTTCTTTCTGTGCCAGTCTGCCTTAATTAACACAACTATAAAATAAAAATGAAACAGATAGCATTCCTCCTCTCATGCCCCTACAATCTACTGGAATAGATTGGCTAATTCCACTTTCCTCACCAAAAGGAAAAAAATACTGTAGTACAAGGGAGAATGAAATGTCATAAAAGAGGTACAAATAAAATTGTACGAGAGTACTTGAAAGAGTGATCTATCTAATAGATGTCATGGCAGTGATCACATTTAAATATCGCCTTGAATGGAATGGTAATAATAGGTGGACATGGTGGAAAAAGGAAGGAGAGTCCCATAGAAGGGGAAAAGGGCTGGGCTTGGAGAAAACAGGTTAAAATTCATCCTTCTTGGATGCTTGGGTGGCTCAGTGGGTTAAGTGTTTGCCTTTGGCTCAGGTCATGATCCCAGGGTCCCAGGATCAAGCCTTGCATTGGGCTCCCTGCTCGGCGAGGAGTCTGCTTCTCTCTCTCTCTCCCTCTGCCTCTCCCTGCTCATTCTTTCTCTTTCTTTCTCTCTCTTTCTCGCTCTGCACTCTCTTTCTCAAATAAATAAATAAAATCTTAAAAAAAAAAAAAAGACACTGAGGACATGTGGGGTTTGAGTACTGGTAAAAGATGGACATGGAGAGGACCAGCCAGCAGCCAGAAATGTGGGGTTGTAGCTAAGACACAATGTAGTACTATTGCTGTAAGGCTACATCAACAAGCTTACTAGAGTCACTAGTATAAATAAGACAGCCAAAGGTGGAGGGAGTAGAGAGAAGAGGGCTACAAAGCTGAGAACCAAACCCTTTCCACAGTAGGCAGCAAGAGAAGGAAAAAGGAGCCAGTTAATAAGTGGCAGAGCTAGAACTTGAACCCAGGTCTCAGCCACATGGTGAGAAATGCAACCGTTGACAATTCTAAAGAGTTTTCATTTTAAATATAATGACTTTAGGCTTTGAAAGAGGAAGTGTTATTACTTTTTATTGCCTCTGTGTCTGTAGATATTGATGAATGTAAAGATGGGACCCATCAGTGCAGATATAACCAGATATGTGAGAATACGAGAGGCAGCTATCGCTGTGTGTGTCCCAGAGGTTTCCGGTCTCAAGGAGTTGGAAGACCGTGTATGGGTAAGTTACCAGGAACTCTTACTGAGTAATAAAGCTCCTAACATAATTTCTTAGCCTTACCAACTTGATCAGGACCACTCTCTAATCTCAAATGTTTTCTTGGGACAATTAGAAAATGTGTTAAGTTGGTGTAAGTAATTTATAACATAATTTGAATTACTTCTTAAAGATTTTTCACAGAGTTCAGTTTGCACTGACATTTAAAGTGATAATAATCGCCATTTACAGAGTGCTTACTATACACTACACATAACAGAGTGAGGTTCCAGTATAGTTACCATGGTGACTTAATTATGAAGGTTATCTCATTGATGATCTCTCTATGCACATGGCGTAAATATTTGCACAGATACATTCTAGTTGAATATGAAGCATAATTGAGTGTAATACGAAGGTTTAGGCATGAGGGATTAAAATGTGAATATACAGTTTTAAGTAAGTTGATAATTATTACTTTACCATATATTTAGTGCTTACTGTGCCATTTCCTGTGCTAAGAATCTCACTCAATTCTCCCAATTGCCTGTTTATTTCTTAGTTATAACTGAATGTAAATAAGTCAGGTAACAGACAATAGAAGAGATCTGTAAGAAGGTAACCATATGCTTCTTTTTAATTAATGCACTTATAATCAAAAACTGGAAACTGACCTATGAAATTATATTCCTCCTGGAATATTTAAGTACAGCAAAAAAAAAAAAAGGTGTGTGCTTTAAATACTGGCTTCTGGTTTGCATACTACGCTTTTAAAATTGGTTGCCTTGGTTGTCTACTTAACAATGATTTATAGCAAATTCTTTCATAAAGACTTAGTTCTGTCTTTATGCAATCCCTAGCCTGGTACTTTGCACAGAGCAAATGTTGAAAGTAATACAGTTACTAGAAACACTTTTAAAATAAATGCTCTCTAATAGCAGAAGTACATAACATATCATTTTTAGTCTTCTGTTTAGATACTGTAATTTATATATAACTTAACATCTTGATTAGTCATAGCAGTGACCTAGCAGAATGAAATATGTTTATTTGTTCACTAATTTGACCTGAAGTTGAATGTTAGGCCTTGGACTGGGAAATAAATCAATGAAGGCAGAGCCATTGCCTTAAAGAGATTTAAAATGTTAATTTTAACCTTTGCCTACTAAAATAATTTTTAAAGCAAAATTTACTACTTTTATTCTGCTTATTCATGTTGCTGTCTTTCATGCCACTGTGGTAATGAATTAAAGAATTTGGTTTTGTTCTCTCTGGTTTTCATTTGCTTTTCCAATTTACAGGAAGAGTTGGGAGTGTATACTATATGTTGACCTAGGAAGGAAGAAAAATAACTTTTTTTTAATTTTATGTACTTTGTGAGTTTATATCTTAGTAAGAAATAATTCTGTCTTAATTTCCTTCTTTTTAAATTTTTGTAAAAAATGTGCTTGGCTTGATTATTAAATAATATTTATTGATTCAAAAGAAAAGAAAAATGTTAGTAGTTGTACCAATATTATCACATCTGAAGCTTGTAATTGCATGAAAGATTGAAAGTACCAGTGAGAATGTTATAATAAGAAGCAAACTAGAAATGTGATTGAGTCCTTCCCTTCACCAACAGAATTAAGATCTGCATTAGCTTTGAACTCTAGTTTTTCTGGATTCAAGACCACATTTTCCCATATGACCCTTTATGTTTCTACCGTACACATGAAGCAACCTTTAGGAAAAGTCTTAGAATGTTTCTATGTATTCATAAATGAATGATTAAAGCTTTCTCCAAAGTTCACAACAATTGAGAAATTACTGTATCCGTAGCTTTGGAGAGCAACATAATGTCTTCAGTTTGTTCCAGAGACTGATTCTTGATTCCTGTGTTTTGTGTGTGTGTGTATGTGTTTTTTTTTTCTCTTTTTTATGTATCATGGCACACGAGCAGACATTAATGAATGTGAACAGGTGCCTAAGCCTTGTGCATATCAGTGCTCCAACACCCCCGGCAGCTTCAAGTGTATCTGTCCACCAGGACAACATTTATTAGGGGACGGGAAATCTTGCGCTGGATTGGAGAGGCTGCCTCATTATGGCACTCAGTACAGTAGCTATAACCTTGCACGGTTCTCCCCTATGAGAAACAACTATCAACTTCAACAGCATTACAGACAGTACTCACATCTCTACAGCTCCTACTCAGAGTATAGAAACAGCAGAACATCTCTCTCCAGGACTAGAAGGACTATTAGGAAAACTTGCCCTGAAGGCTCTGAGGAGAGCCGAGACACATGTGTAGGTAAATGTCAGCCATATTACATTTCCTTTCGGTGGGCTCACTTATGGGCCAGAGTCTAAACATATGCACAGCACCGGTGGTCATTTGGGTGCAGTGAACTACATCTGATCTCAACTCTGGGATGACTCAAAGTTCCAAGACATTTCCTCTGACACCTAAAACTACTACAAAATTTACTCAAGTAAATGATGTATTTACATGTGTACATTCTGATAATTAATTGTTTTATATCGACAGTTTCTTTCTTTTGACCACTCCTGAAAGTGTAATTAAATTTAATGCTATGTAGAAATAAATTTCAGTGGCATTCAGAATACATTTTTTAAAAGAGAATATGAGTATTGCCACATAATATAATACCATCGGATTATGGCTGTACCTGGCCAATGCCAAAGCAGGGGGTTAAAAGTGAAACGTTCAACGACTCAGTCAACTGCTTGTTCTGTATGACGACCAAAATGGTGTTGACTGTTGACCCACACTCCCCGTGGAATTTCTCAGTTTGATATTTTGTATATATGTAAATCACTGAAAAGATAATGTGAGCCAGGACAAAATTAAGTTGCTTTCATTGCTCTAAAATATGTGCTTTCAATATCTTTATCTAAACTCATCTACAATTTAACTTGTTTGCAAAAGTGAAGTGTAATTTCCAACTCAATAATTGAGGCTTTGTTTTCAGTTAGGTTGCAAACATTACCATCTGTCATTCACTTAATTCAGTTTTCTGTGAGTGTCCGCAGTTTGCATGCCATTGAGCTATGTGCCAAGAGAAATTAGCAAACACAAATTAGCCCCACTATTAGTTAGATGACAGAAGAAAGCAAGGAAGATAGAGAGGAAGGCGGGCAGAAAGAAATTTTGTTTAAATTTAAAGACTCCCTATGCCAACTTCATTTTCTTGCATTTTTCTTAAGTATTCTACACTTCACTTATTCTTGCCTAAATATATTTTCTGTTACACATTTCTTATAAACATTTTAAAAATATCTTTTTCTGACTTCAATTTTCATCATTTTTTTTAAAGATTTTATTTATTTATTTGAGAGAGAGAATGAGATAGAGAGAGAGCATGAGAGGGGGGAGGGTCAGAGGGAGAAGCAGACTCCCCGCTGAGCAGGGAGCCCGATGCGGGACTCGATCCTGGGACTCCAGGATCATGACCTGAGCTGAAGGCAGTCGCTTAACCAACTGAGCCACCCAGGCGCCCTTCATCATTTTTTTTTCTACCCTTCACCCCAAGCCCTGTTCCTACATCATTATCTTCTCAGACATGCTTCCTTAATTACTCTTCTGTGGACCCAGCCTCCCATATCACCTCTATCAGCTGGACTCCCGACCCACTGGATACTTAAACTTTAAACTTTTCTCTTTAAGTGTATATTTTCCCAGAACTTTTCTGTCTAGATGTCCTGATGGACCTGAAGGTTAATATGATGCACATGAAACCTCCCTGTGATCAGTGTCTTAAACTGTTGACAATGCTAGTTCTTTTTACTCTTTGAACTTCAAACATTAATGCATTCTTTACCAGTTCTCTACCTTTAGTCCATCTGGTCAAATGCTACTTAATTCCTAATCGTGTGGACTCCACAATCCTTGTGAGGGTGTCAAACACCACTCTCAACCTGCTCCAAATCATTCTGAGCATTGGTAATTTTTCATGTCCACGATTTTGACCTCTTTGTTAGTTAAAACTTTTCACCATTTTTTAATTGATAGAATTAAAATTTGACATGTTGTCTTTCAAAGTTTCTTCCAAATAGTCATTCCCACTAAGGGTTTTCATCTCCAGTTATCCTCCCACTCTCTGACTTCATCTTAGACAAGCTCTTCTCTTCTGCCTATACCCTCCTGCCCCAAACCCTTGTTTATGCTGTGACACATGAATTAAATCATATTCCCCACACCGTACACCATCTAGCTAATTTCTTTTAAATCATCTGAATGTCCCAGTCATTTTAAGAAAGCATCCCTGATTAATAACCCCCTTCTCTATTTCTTCATCACTATCTAAACTCTGCAGTTTCACAGTAGAGTCTCATAAATGTTTTCTGTGTCTCTGTGTTTATATTACACTAATATTATGTTTATAAGAATTATCTTCCCAAACCATTGGCTGAGGCAGCTACTATTTCAGAGGACCAGTCTTGGAAAATCTGAAGTAAACTTCCATATCTAGTCAATTACCATATGTTTGAGTTTTATTTGGGGGCAGTTAATAGACATTTAGAAATATTTCTTAAAATAAATCTTAAAATATGGTGACTATTTTATAGTGTTCATACTAATAAAGAAGTTTACACTAAGATTGCAGACAGCTTTGGAATTATGTAACGAGCAACTTGGAATAAACATCAAATGCCTTTAATTAACCATCTGGGATAGATAACTCACAAAAGATTCAAATTAACACTGTGCAATCTTATTAGACTCAGGCTAAAATTTAGCTTTTTAAGGAAATGATTCCAAAGCTTAACAAGAGAAATGAACATTGCGTTGCCTCTGAATGCAGAAATCACACTCGGGGCCACTTTGAAATTCATACTCTGGGAAGAGTCAACTGACTTCTTGGAATTCCACATCATTGACATTTCTGTGATGATTTGGGGTGGAAGCAGATTGTAAAGGGAAAAAGTAAAAATAACACACAAGTTGTGGAATAAATGCTTTGGTTCACAGTGGGGCAAAAGCAGTAACAAATATTTGATGAGGTTTCATCATGAACAGATTTTGAATCTTTGCAATTATATTGTGAGCATATGCAAAACATGTACGTTGAACACATCCCTTTGCTCTGAGTCACCCACCAATTTTCACCTTGTCTTCTCTTTACTTCCACCCTACAACACTCCTGCTCCCACTTCACATCATATTCTCTTTTCATTCTTCCACTGGTTGGTGGGACTCTGAACAAATTCTAACATTAGTCTGAGCAAAACACAACTGGGATAAGAAATCTGAGGCACCCCAAATCACATCCCTTATCCTGAAAGCAAATAGCAATGAATTTTTAATTATCACCCATTCTCCTCTCCTTGTTATTGCTACTTTCTTGGCTTTGTTTAATAATAGCAGATAGATAGCTCTTTATTATAAAATGCTTCCCCATATATTATGATACATGAACCTTCGAACAAATCTGTGCAATTGAGAGATCGTATCAGTGAGTCCTTTTGACAAAAGAATTGACTGAGATCTTGAGAAATAAAGTGGCCTTCCCAAGGTGTCACAGCAACTATAGATACGTTGTTGCCATTCGTACTTTACAATTGTATGAAGTTTGATGAATATTCTTATCACAAAATTAAAAACACCTCCACTTGATATCTCTTTATGGGAAAGTAATGCATGGATGGTGGGAGCACATGCAGGGAGAAAGAGAGGTGGCTAAAGTTTAAATAAAATAAAATTCCTTGTTCCAATTAACCTCAATAGAAACTTTGTCTTTTCGATAAATTCTACTATTCTGTCAAGAGTTTAGTACTTGGGTGGTTTAGGATCTTATACAAATCTGTTTCATCTGCCATCCCAGGCTTGCTTAACTAATATAGATATTGGCCAGTTCCCAAACTGGCCAATTCCCTCAGCTCGTATACAGTTCTACACAGAAGAGATATTTATATTTTATGAAATAGTACAGTTGACACTGTATTCCATTAAAAACAGATTCTGATATAAAACAGCTCTGAGCATGTTTAAACACATGAGTGTAAAATCACCAAGAAGTTTTTCTATTGTATATCAACAACTTGCGTGTAATTGGTTCTGTCGTAGTTTCTGGCTTTGCTTTGCATGGTTATACACTCTGCTTTCTTTCTGCACAGATATTGATGAATGTGAAAATAGAGACATTTGCCAGCACGAGTGTAAAAATACCTTTGGGAGCTATCACTGTATCTGTCCGCCTGGCTATCAACTCATGCTCAATGGAAAGGTTTGTCAAGGTGAGAAAATGTTGGGATGTTTATTGCTGCTACTTGACTTAAAACATAGGAGAGTATGAGAAATTAAGTGTCTTCTTTTTTTTTGAATAATTATTCTCCTAGTTGCTTTCTCTTCCTTCTCATTCCCATTGGTCATATTTATCATTGCTTTTGTAAGTAGGAGAACTGGAGAGAAAGCAGTTAGGTAGAGGAAAATAGTTGAGAATCATTTTTGGTGTAGTCTTTCTAAACCAGTTCATGTTATAACTACATATATTTTTTTACTATGTTCTTTTTTTTTATTATGTTATGTTAATCACCATACATTACATCATTAGTTTTTGATATGTTATATATTTTTAAAACTAAGTGGGAATAGACCTCTTCAAATGTCTTTTCAGAAGTTCAACCAAGATGAAAGACGAAATAGAAAGAGAGCTCAGTAAATTTACTCCAGTATTAAGCATTATTTTATTTTTTGTCTTGGCCAACCATGGGTAATTGATTAAATGATCTATTCTTTGAGTCTGCAAATGATGTGGAACAGTCACGAGCTAGCATTGCAGAATGCAAAAGGTTTAAACAAATGAATAATATAGTCTCTTCCCTTTGATATCTTAGTCCAATGGAAACAGACATGTAAATAAAAGCATAATATACAGGGTTGTAGGTACTATAACAGAGTTTGGGACAATGTGTAGTGATGGTAGAAAGAAAAAAACCATCAATCTCAATATTACCCTCTTTACACAAAAATGTGAAAAGGACATTTTGCTTTGATAAGGTATATTATGTTGCAATGCATACTTAGATCAAAAAGAAATAAAAACTTATATAAATCTTAAAAATCTTCTAAGAAATCCCCTCAATTTTGTGGTCAAAATTAAAAGTATTATATAAGTATTAACAAACCTCTGAATTTTAATTAATTTCTGTCACATACAACCTGTATCTTTTTCTAAAGCATATCAAATAAAATCTCCAAAAGAGTGCTTTATCAGTAGCAATCGAATTTAGATTAAATTTGCCTTCTCTGGAAGATTCACAGAAGACTTGCTAGGATGCTGGTCATGGAAAGGGTGCTCCAGGAAGCAAGACCTTGGCAGGGCAATAGGGTCACCTGAGTCCCATGAGCTTCCACCTGTCTCACACCCATTTACCCATTCCCTCCCTGAGAGCCCCCACTGGACCATGTGGACTGGAGAAGTAAAGTGAACACCATAATAACCTTCGCTCCCAGCCATCTGTCACAAATGCTTGTTAAGAACTTACCCTATGCAGAACTTTCTACTGAGACTTGAAGTATGAGAATCACACATTGATATTAAAGTCATGTTTTCCCAAAGCAATTATTAACTCATTTTAATCAACAGTACAGCTATGTCAAGGGCAATAATTTATACCCATCCTCCAGATAATAAAACTAATTCTCAGAGTGATGATGTGAGCATGAATGTTCTAAAACAATCAAGCACAAGGGTAGGACTTGATCACAGATCTCATAATGTCTATAATGGTCCTTTGTCTCTCCTGTCATGCTGTGAACACCAGGGTCATTGTACTGTGGCAGCAGGGTGAGGTGAGAGCATTTACACTGTCCATGCTTTACAACTTTCCCCAGATCGGCATGCCAAGGATCCTCTGAAGAGGTGGCAATACCCAACATTAACACCACACTTCCTGTCAGTGCACCAGGCACCAAGGAAGGAAGCATTTGGAACAACCAACCAAACTACAAAACCCCTTGGCCAGATTTTTAAACGCTATATTATGTCATATCCTCATTAGAGGATTTTTTTTTTCCTAAATTATGCCAGTTTGTTCCTTGATTGCCCTAGCTGCTTATTCGGTTCAAAACATTTTTCAGCTTTCAGCTGTGCTTCAGAGAGTGGAAAATAATGTGAACAAATCAGAAACAGGTGTCACTTGAAATGTTTGCGATTTAAATGGGTTACATATTTTTGTGGTTTTTAAAAAAGACTTGAGAGAAAACAATTACATCTTTTAAAGCAGTCTTTAATCTGAAGAATAACTTGGAGTCTTTTTATAGCTTTAGGAAGTGTTTTGGGCATTTATGAGAGGAAAAAAAAGTTGATTTTCATTTACATGTGCATTTTTGAAGCTTTGTACATTAGTGATTAAAATGTCAGTGACAAAAAGGAAATTAAAGTGAATTTGACACTGAACAAGGACAGAAACTCTAGTCAAAAGTGGAAGTCAGCAGACTACAAAATGAAAAACAAAAAACATGACTGATCATGATTTGCCCAAGAAGCGGAGAGGAGAAACAAAAGATCTTTCTGCTAATTTTAAGCCCCACTAATCTAATTCTGAACATTTAGAAACACTTTATTGGCATTGCATTTGAAATGAGTGTTCTAATCTATCCAAGTTTTTAAAAAGTAATCCATAATGTTATCAAGAATCTAAATTATTCTTTCTATAAGACAAATGTTTCAAGTCTGTTTATCCTGAATTATTGTTTAATGTATCCAGAAGCACTTGGTTAAATACATTCACATGTTCTAAAACTATTAATATAAAAGTTTTTCAGCTCATCTTGGTAATCTTTTCTTGTATAATATTTAGATTATAGGGGCGCCTGGGTGGCTCAGTCGTTAAGCGTCTGCCTTCGGCTCAGGTCATGATTCCAGGGTCCTGGGATCGAGCCCCGCATCGGGCTCCCTGCTCGGCCAGGAGCCTGCTTCTCCCTCTCCCACTCCCCCTGCTTGTGTTCCCCTCTCTCGCTGTGTCTCTGTCAAATAAATAAAATCTTTAAAAAAAAAAAAAATATTTAGATTATAAAATGCCTATCCTTTAATTTCTACCATAGTAATTTTCTTATAATATTTAATAAAAACCAGACATCCTCACATTGTCAGCTAACAGAAGACAGCATGATTTCTCCATCTTTTCTGGCTTCTCTTTTTAGGACCAGGCAGTAGACTAAATGAGTAGAGTGAATGCTTACAGGGTGCTTAAGCCTGAGGAGATAGCTGTAGACAGAAGACAAAGGAAAGCCACCTTCCAGAAGCTCAAATACTTAAGAAAGCTTTTCAGTGGAAAGTGTTCATTGTTATGGAGCTAAAGGCAAACACTTTGAATATTAGATTTTGATATATTTTTGTAGATTCGTATTCAACCATTGGAAATCTGTGATAAGATAGCTACTCTTATGCATACAGGCATGTGTCCAGATTCTGGTCTCCATGCCACCATTTCCATGGGCCCCTGCAGCTTACCGACCTCCATGTGCCTGCAGGAATTCATCATAAAAATTAGAGCTAAAATGAAATTTGGTGGATAAGTGTGAAGGGAATGTTTTTTATGAGAAAAAAAAAAGATAAGGCTAATTGAATTTCTTTCACATTTTCCTAAAGGGCTTTTCACTTCATTCTGAGACAATCTCATTTTGCCAAGGAGATAATGCCCTTCTGACAGATAAAATCATAATTAGAACTTGGTTCACAGAGACAATAGGCAAGATTTAACTGAAATATAAATTTGTTTCACACTGTGTTGTATTCCTGTAGGATAATTAGTCCTAATATAAAATTAGTCATAGAAAGCACATTATGTTATTATCAGCACATCTAAGTAACTAAAAGGTCAAGTAAGTGATTACTCCGTATCACTCTAGCTCAGTGTCTTTTTACTTTATGCAAACTATTAGCAGGTCTAAAGTAAATAATTACACTGTCTGTCATTTCCTTAGGAAACAGAATATATTTGGAACCAAATCTAAAATGTTCATTTTTGAGACAAATGGTAAATAATTCAGAAATAAAATTTAACATTTATTGTCCATAATTAATATACTGTCTCTTGAAACTGCTTCTCTCCTTTCTATTTTTTTGATAGCAATATTTCAAGTTATTTAAGAATTCACAAAATAACTTAAATCTTTAACCCAAGTCCAACATACATACCATTATGCAGATACCAAGTCACCTACTACTATGAAATGATTACAATAGTTTCACATGCCCATTTGTCTTGGCACTGATTCCATGATGAAAGTACATTTGACCTTTAGGTCCTACCTCTGCAGAGAACTGATTTGGGCCCAATTAATTGTAATTGTTCCCTCCAGTACCTCAGGATCTATGTTTATTAAAATACTAAAGAAGGAGGAGTATTATAAGTGCCTATATGCAGCCAATTGACTTGAGACTTTAAAATAAGTAGTCTTCAATTTTTTGCTTGCCTACTCCAAAAAAATTTGAAACCTTATACTTCATTCATATGTTTTAAAACTGACTTCTAAAGTTTCTTATCATTTAAATTGTTGTAAAGGATGTGAATTCTGGCTTTGATGTACATGGCTTTAAATATATTTTCATCAATACTTTGGAGCTATAGATAACCCCATTAATGGGGAATGATCACTATATAATTTAAAAGTCTGTAGTCATTGTTAAACCAACCAGCTTGACTGTCAGAAAAAGTCTAAGGTCATTTTTCTGTTCAAGTAAAAGTGTTAGTAGGTGTTCCCATGACAATCAGCTCACTTCTGAAATCTAATTTAAAATAGAGAGCTAAGACCACTGGTTTGTAGCCATGATGAAATAAGGCCTGCCACCATCAATACAAATAACCAGTTTTCTCACCCTTCATATGTGCCTTGAAGCATTTACACCCGGGTATCATACAGAGACTAGGGATTAGTGGAAACCTTTCTTTTGTAAAGCAGAAGGATATAAAATGGGAATGGGGACAGGAGAATTCCAGGCCGCAGGAAGTTCTCAGGCAGAGTGCTTTTAGAAAGGAGAACTTAGGGAAATAAGTTTCTGGTTGAAAATGATTCCCTGAAATATTTGCCTGCTCTCATACTGCTGAAAAGCTTCCATGCACCACCAGGGGAATGCAAGTACCACCATTGGAAATGACTGCTGTAAAATATGGTTCTTAACATTAGGATCTCAAAATCCCTTAAAAATTTTGTAGAACTCTATTCTCTTCCCAGAAAATCCATCAATCGCAATGTTGTACTCTCTGTCTCTCCATCTGTCTTTGTCCCTGTCTCTCTCTCTCTCTCTCTCTCTCTCACATGCACACACTCATACACCCACACACAAAAAGATTTTCATTCATAAATCCCCTGATGCTCGAATATGGACCCTAAGTTAAAAATCATGGCTCAAAAACATTCATTTTCAGAAAGCTCAGAAAAAGTTTCCTTTAGCTCCATCTTGATGTTTCTTAATTATAGTGATTTAAGTATGTTTTTATTTAACAACTTCGTATAGAAAACAACAAAATAAACAGCATTTCATTTGCATTTTTCCCCACTACCCAAGGGGGAGCTAATACCCTAGAGAGCTCATCCCATGCCCATAACCCCTGAAGATGGATTCTCCACAATTCAGATTTGATTAAACTTGGATTATGGTTCTTGGGTCATTCATTTGATCCTGGGCTTCTTTTTTTTTTTTTTTCCTAGATTCTCTCTCTCCACAAGAAATGACTGACTTGAATTTATTAACTTGACTCCTTTAATTTCCACTACCCTACCTCCCACTCAACAATTTGAACTTATAAAACAAAATATCAGGGAGAATCACTCACATTTTAAAGAGGTTCTTCACTTTACAAAAAGGTTCGCAAGTGTCCTTTAAATTTTTAGCTTGTTTCTCATGAATTTAAAGTATTATTTGCTTTCCGAAACTCAAATGCACTCTATTTTCCAAATATAAAAAACACCAGAGTTCTTAATAGCTTCCCTTCTACTTTTATAGCTTTTATTTTTTGATGTCCTTTCACAAATGTTAAAAATTATCCTCAAAGCAATATGGGAAATAGCACACCAGGTATCCGGATCCCATTTTGTGGTTGAAGAAGCTTAGGTATGGCTACCAGATTCACTCATGGAGATTTGCCATCACCCTCAAATATCCACACCACCTGCTCTCATGGCCTGCTCTGACCCGAGTTGCTGACGCTGTGTGTTCCTTGTGCTGTTGCTAGATGTTGATGAGTGTCTGGAGCAGAGTGTGCGCTGTGGGCCAAATCGCATGTGCTTCAACATGAGAGGAAGCTACCAGTGCATCGATACCCCCTGTCCAGCCAACTACCAGCGGGATCCTGTTTCAGGGTATGTCTTGCCTTCTCTTCTCAGAAATACTTTTGAAAAGCATTCTCTCCTCAACCAACATACTCTGTCTGTAGTCACGTGTAACTCACAGGAAGTCAGTAACCCCAGGGGTATATGGAGTCAATGAGTGGGTATGAAATGAGCTCATCCTGCAGCAGCTACTGTAACCTAAACTATCACTGTTGGCTGCCAGGGTTTTCCCAGAGCATCTCCCCAGTATGTAATCCGCCATGCCACATCTAGAATTCTGTCTCAGCGGTGAGCATTTTATGGGGTGATAGAACCTGACCTCCTTTGAAATTTCCTAGTTTCCATTTGTGTTGCCTCAGAGTTTTAAGGGCTCTCAGCACTTAGAGCATTCCAAGAAGTACCTTGACTGTAATCGTGATGACTCACCATGACTCCATGAGAGAATGGAGATGAGCAAGGATGAGTCAACAGTCTGCCCGCTCATAGATGGTCTTGCTTATATTCCCTGCTGTCTGAAACACTATCTTTTCTGGGTTCTGAATAAACTGCTCTTCTATTTTCTCCCTCCTCTTACAGAAATGTCATACTCTGTTCAGGTATCAAGTCAATGAGGTACTTGAAAACAGAGATAATGGTCATCATGAATAGGACCTGCTAATAAGAAGGTGGTTCTGAAACCAAGTGCTGGTTGGAGCTCACACTTTGTTTTTCCTCTCAGCAGTGACTACCAAGTTACTGTAACATGATCAAGTGTGGACTGCCCCAGATCCGGCAAAAACCTATTCATAATTGCTTTAGGGGGAATAGGAAGGGGAGGAAGAAAATTAAAAATATTGACTTAAGAAACATCCAAAAATACTGACTGAAGAATCCATATCTGCAGAAAATGGTCCTTTGTGCATTTTTCTAAAATTTTACTCTCCCTTACCAGTGATTTCTGGCAATTTAAAAGTCATGATGCCTCAAAAACAGCCAATGTGGGCTCTGAAAAAAGAAAATACAGTATTTTTAATCTAAAATAATGTGGAAAACAAATACAAAAGGAAAAGCTTCCCCCCCGCCCAGGAATCTTAGTTGACCTTTTATTATTTTTAGGAAAACAAACCAAATATCAATAAATTCTACTTCAGCTTTCAGTCTTAGGGCAGATGTTAAAATTTAAAAATAGCTTGTATTCCTCTCTTTAAAAACTACTTGTTTCCAGTATATGTACAGATACTTCTATTTCCAAAACTAACTTTTCATTTTAGAGACACTCTTGTGGTACTCATACTTACTTCAGTGGTTCAAAAATTTCTGGGGCATCTGGGTGGCTCAGTTGGTTAAGCGTCTGCCTTCGGCTCAGGTCATGATCCCGGGGTCCTGGGATCGAGCCCCGCATCGGGGTCCCCGCTCCGCAGGGAGCCTGCTTCTCCCTCTCCCACTCCCCCTGCTTGTGTTCTCTCTCTCTGTCGAATAAATAAATAAAATCTTAAAAAAAAAAAAACAACTTCTGATTTTACTGAAACTGAGAGATAGATATTTGACTCTAGACCAGCATACTCTCATAGGCATCTGACATCTGGTTTGAGTTAGTGGCATAGCACATGGGGTGGGCCAATTGCTCTCGCAGTCAGACTGTCTACAGCCTTTAATGCCTAAAAGTTGTCATGGATCATGGTCACCTGCCGCATGCCCTCTCCTGCTTCCAAGCCAGATGACAATATGCACCTCGTGTGTTTTTTTGTCCTTAGGTTCTGCCTCAAGAACTGTCCACCCAATGATTTGGAATGTGCCTTGAGCCCATATGCCTTGGAATACAAACTTGTCTCTCTCCCATCTGGAATAGCTGCCAATCAAGATTTAATCCGGCTGGTAGCATACACGCAGGATGGAGTGATGCATCCCAGGACAACTTTCCTCATGGTAGATGAGGAAGAGACTGTTCCTTTTGCCTTAAGGGATGAAAACCTGAAAGGAGTGGTGTACACAAGGCGACCACTGCGAGAACCAGAGACCTACCGCATGAGGGTTCGAGCCTCATCCTACAGTGCCAATGGGACCATTGAGTATCAGACCACATTCATAGTTTATATAGCTGTGTCTGCCTATCCATACTAAGAAGCTCTCCAGAGCCTAATCCACATATTTAAACTGCATTAATCATGGGAATCCAGTCCCCTTCCAGATTACCATCTCCTGAACAGTTGCAATCTTGGCAACTTGAAAATGGTGCTATGCTCTGTTTTGTGTGCCTTCCTTGGTACTGGTGAGGTATTTTCATGATCCCACCATGGTCATATCTTTTGGTAAGGTCTAGAAAGGTCCCTCATTATTTTTCTTTATTTATTACACTGGAGCAGTTATTTTCCAAAGATTATTCTGAACATCTCACAGGAGGACCTAACAGTGATGTTTTAGAGTAGCATAGTAGCTAAGATCATTTTCCTTAAAAGAAAGAAAAAAGAAAACAAAAATAACTCACTCGAAGCCAAGTGAATTTTTGAGCATTTGGCCATTTTTAGAATAAGAAAACTGGTTGCTATGTGTTTTGATCAAAGCTTATTAAGTAACTTATAAAGATGCTTTTTTTTTTTTTTTAAGTATTGATACTTTATAATGGGACTTCGACACCTATTTTCATCTTAAGGGAAAAAAGAAACACCACTCATTTTAGAAATATAGTACGGCTTCTAGAATGTTTCTTTGATACCAAATAGTGTTCACGTGGACTGAGCATCCAAAATAAGGATATTATTTTCAGTGATTTTGTGAAATGAGCTGAACCAGATAATAGAAAATAGAAATAGATAATAGAAAAAAAAATATTGCTTCATCCTCAGATAATTGTTCATGGCATGGATCTTTGATATAACCTTCCTTCCAGTTAGCTCCATAACTTGTACATTCCAGCATTTTATTTTCCAGTCAAGTGGAAGCAACTTTTACAAATACCAATGGGACAGTTTTCTTTGTTTTTCTTAAAAATCTTATATGTTCAAATTAGCATAAATGTTGAACGTCAATACACTGTACATGGTGGTAACAGACTCTGGAAGCGATTGCCAAGATGTATTCTATTTTTATGAAATGTATATATATTACCTTGGTGTATTTTCTATATAATATCTTGATGGACTTTTTTATAAAATTATTTTGTAAAACAAAAAACAATGTTACAGTCAAACCAGCCTGAATAAAATTTTCACATCCCTTTTCTTAACCTTTTTGAAAGCTTAAAATTTGTTTCCTTATAGCTATCCTAGGTGTTAAGGTTTATAGTCACACATACACACATCTATCTGTGTATATGATACATAGCCTGACTGAAACAGATTTTAAATGGATTCTCTGAACTGGATCTGAGTTAACTTTAATTGGTTCTGTGATACAGTCACATTTAATGGAATTAATAACCTGTCTCAAGTGGTAAAGTGAACTCTGATTGTTCATGGGATGCAGTGCCAAAATAGTGCTTAAATTCTCACCAGTAGGCATTTCTAATCAAGAAATGGTTGCTTGCTTGTAGGTACACTAGAGAACATGGAGAAAGAAAATAATGAGTTGAGGGCTTTAAATTCTCAACTGAAGTTCTGAAAAAAGGATATAAAGTGAATGATGATCTGAAGGAAACCCTTATTTCCTAGAACTGCAGCACCAAGTTTTCTGAAAACCACACCAAAGGTCTAAGTCCAACAGTGTCTGGATTACAATACAAATTTAGTTCCTAATCTCACAGGTTCTCTTGTGTTAAAGTTAGAGCACTGATTGAAAAGGAAGTATGATGGGGCACCTTGGTGGCTCAGTAGATTAAGCGTCTGCCTTCGGCTCAGGTCATGATCCTGGGGTCCCAGGATCGAGTCCCGCATCCGGCTCCCTGCTCAGCGGGAGTCTGCTTCTCCCTCTACCCCTCCTCCCTGTTTGTGATCTCTCTGTCAAATAAATAAATAAAATCCTAAAAAAAAAAAAGAAAGAAAAGGAAGTATGACCTCACAACTTGGGATAGAGACATAGGAGCAGATTTTGATGAAGCTGGAAACCTTCAACTCCAAATGATATGTTTTCTCTGCCAACAGAAACAGCCCTTCCTCTCTGTCTGAGGAAGTTAGTCTTGTCTAAACAACCTATAACGGCCTCTTTTGAAGCCCTCGCAAGAGATTCTGAGCCTTCTCAGGACCAACCCTTCTTACTTTTCATTGCTTCTAGACCTATAACCAGATTTATGTCTTTAGAATTCAATAACAAAACAAAAAAAAATGAAGATTGTAATTTGGGGTTTTTTATAATTCATATTTACTATATTTTTTAAAGTTATCATCTACAACAGATTTTTTTTAAATCTAGTCCTTTACCACAGTAGTGTGAGAAACACTGCAAGATACCAAGAACAAAAATTATAACCTACTGTTTACAGAGAAAAATGTTGAAGTTCAAAGAAATTAAATAACTCACTGCAAAGTCAATCACTGGTGGGGAATGGAGAGCTGGGTTTGGATCCAGGTCCACTAACTACAAAGCCATAACACTTGTCAATATTTTCAATAAGGAAACTCCTCTCAGCTTCTTCAGAAACATCTGCTTACATCCAAGCATTATAATTGCAGCGTGAACATGAACCGCAACTCCCTGGGTTGCTGCTTTGACAAAATATCTTCACATCTACCACTAAACTGGGATCTCATCTCTGGACATCAGTGTACCTGCAGTTATCATTCATCCTTGAAAATCATCAATGGGAATTCAGCTATTAGCATTCCAGGGTTCTGACTTGACATTTAAGTAATACCAGTTGACCTCCCCCCATGAACCATAAATGAGATTTAATGCCACTTTAAAAATTTAGCACTATACTTTTCCTGCCCTGGAGATTGAGGTTTTAAAATCATGATTAGGTCAACTAAAATCAAAAAGACTGAAAATTCAACTGGTTATTTATCTGAAAGTTCTCAAGAACCAAAATATTTTCTCACAATATACAAGGATGACCGACAGATTGGCTAAATTTATATAAAATAGGCCCAAAGTTTATAATTAAATTCAAAGCTGTCCATAGAAATCATTCATATATTTATTTATTCATGCAAAAGTTATATGTTGCTGGGGCGCCTGGGTGGCTCAGTCAGTTAAGCGTCTGCCTTTGGCTCAGGTCATGATCCCAGGGTCCTGGGATCTAGTCCCGCATTGGGCTCCCCGCTCAGCAGGAGCCTGCTTCTCCCTCTGCCCCTCCCCTACTCATGCTCTCTCTCTCAAATAAATAAAGTCTTAAAAAAAAAACAAAACCCAAAAGGTATATGTCAAATGTTTATTATGTACTGGGCTTGCTGATAAACGTTTGGAATACAGAAAATTCGAAGATACATATAGCCCAGTGAGAATTCATATGTAAAAATGAACTATAATTCAGGGCACCTAGGTGGGGCTCCGTCGTTAAGTGTCTGCCTTCTGCTCAGGTCATGATCCCAGGATCCTGGGATCGAGCCCTGCATTGTGCTCCCTGCTCCTCGGGAAGCCTGCTTCTCCCTCTCCCACTCCCCCTGCTTGTGTTCCCTCTCTCTCTGTGTCTCTCTCTGTCAAATAAATAAAATCTTAAAAAAAAAAACAACTATAAGTCAATATGATAATTATAATAAAATTCTGTTCAAAGTGCAATTGGCCCTAGACAACCAGTCATTTATTTTCTGTCTCTATAGATTTACCTTTTCAAGGTTGTTCATATAAATGGAATTATATAATATGTGGTCTTTTACATTTGGCTCTTTCCACTTAGCAATATCTTCTTGAGGTTCATCCATATTACCAGTATTTCATTCCTCTTTATTGCTGAATAGTATTCCATTGTGTGAATGCACCACTTTTATTTATCTATTCATCAGTTTCCAGTTAGGGACTATTATGAATCATAATGCTGTGAGAATTTACATGTACGCCTTTGTGTGGACATAGGTTTGCATTTCCCTTGCATAGATACCTTGGATTCCCAAGAACCTAGTAATTTTACACCTGGGGGTCTATTCAAGAGATATCCACATAAGACTTAGATGTAAATTTATGTTTAAATTTGAAAGAAATTGTCAGGCTATTTTTCAAAGTGATTGTACTATTTATATTCTCATTAGTAATATATGAGGATTCTAATTTCTCCATCTCCTCACCAACACACATTATTATCTATTCTAATGAGCATTCTAATTTGCATTTCCCTACTGACTAATGATGTTGAGTGTTTTGTTTTTTTTTTTCATGAGCTCATTGGCCATCTGGATATCTTTTTTGGCAAGATATCTGTTCAAATATGTTACCCATTTTGAATTGGGTTATTTGCCTTCTTATTGTTGTGTTGTATGAGTTTTTTATATGTTCTAGATACAAGTTCTTTGTCAGATATCTTATTTCCAAATATTTTTCCCAGTCTGTGGCTTATCTTTTCATTTTCTTAATAGTTTCTTTTGAAATACAAAAATTTTGATTTTTATTAAGTCCAATTTATTGATTTTTTAATGGATTATGCATTTGATGTTGTAGCTAAGAAGTCTTTGTCTACTTTAAGGTCACAAAGATTTTCTCCTATATTCTTCTAAAAGCTTTAGAGTTTTAGCTCTTCTATTTAGGTTTATGATACATTGATTTAATTTTTGTGTATGATAGGAGATAAAGGTCTAAATTCATTGTGTTGCCTATGGATCAAATTGTCCTAGCACCATTTTTGAAAAGGCTAACCTTCTCATTGAATTGTCTTGGCATCATTACCAAATATCAATTGACTAAAAAGTGATTACTACAACTTTATAGTAAGTTTTGTAAACTAGGAATAGAAGTCCTATATTTCTTTTTTCCGTTTCAAGATTATTTTGACTATGTTGAGTTTCTTATATTTCCACATAAATTTCAGGATCCACTTGTCAATTTCTGCAAAAGAGCCTTGAGATTTCAATAGAGATTGTACTTGAATCTGTAGATCAAGTTGGGGGGATAAAAGCTATTCCTGAATCATAGAAAAATCATTGCAAACATAAATTCTGGAGTCAGATGAACAGTTTCATTTCCTACATCATAATCTTGAAAAGTTAATCTTTAAACCTCAGTTTCCCTATCTTTAAAATGGGGATATTAACTATACCTGCTTCTATTTCTTCAGAACCAAAAGATACATTTTTCTCTGGAGCCCTTAGCACAGTGCTTCTTGTTAGCTGTTGTTACCATACTGTCATTTCTTATTCTGCCAGGAACTATGTAGGCACTAGAGATAAAGAGTTATAAGTAGAAGTCTCTGAAAGAGTGGGATTGCCCTGGGTTCTGTGTTTTTGTTGCTTTGGGTGGATGAGGGATAAGAAGATAGCATTGGTGTTGATGGGGAACAGGGAGGATGAATCTTACAAGGAAGTCGTGTGAAAGGGAAAAAAATATTAGCTCCACCAGCAGCCTTTAAAAAAGAAAAATGGTTTTACAGTCCCATGGTTTTATATTCATTCAACCAACACAAACCCCTACTCACTATGCACCATGAAAAATTGGTAAAGAAAGCCTTATCCTTTTATCTTCCTCTCCTGTTGAGCTCTGTTTTTCTCTTCCAAGCTTATGTCCATTTTTAATTGATTTCACAGAGTAATGTGCCCATAGGTGTGTGTGTGTGTGTGTGTGTGTGTGTTAGGGGGACAAGTATTATTTGACTCAAGCCCAGGGAGAAGCCCTGTGTTCTAGCTACCCTAAGAATGTTCCTAATGACAATAAGGCACTCTGACCCAATGGGACAAACAGAAAGTCTTTAGTTGTTACATGATTTTTCTGGCACTAAGAGGTTGTCCTTGTGCACTGAGCCACATTGTTGTTGTCCTACTGGTTTTCAGGTTCCCAGCATGTCTGATTCTCAGACTTGTAATCCACATTGTCCTGATGTTTCCAGTTTCCTCCACCTCTGAGTCAGACAGCAGGATAGAGACCAGCTCATCGTGCTCTGGCCCAGGCTCCCAAATAAAGTGGTTCCATGTGTGGAGGCAGTGCCTGACATGTCCCATTGGCCACAGGTTGTTCCAGCTCCGTAGGGAGACTGAAAGAATGTATCAACAGACTTGCCCAGGTATCTAAAACACATTTTCAAAATGTCAAGTGACCCTTGATGACCAGTCTGCTGATTAACTGCAGTGTCCCAGGGGTCCTCAGAGGGACAAGCTGAGGCCAAGTTTTCAGTATGTAATCACTTCTCTGCACTGAGTCAGAAAGCTCACC